TTTGAGAGAATGCTTCATTTTTGATAGCTTATCATACTTCAGAAATTTTTGTTTGGTTTCAGCTGTGCAAAAATACGGCATACATATCTTTAAACGAGGTAAATTATTGAAAAGCAAGTTGATGAAACAAGAATATCAACAGTCTCGTTTAAAGTCATCATTTCGTAAATTCTATGGTCGATACAATGACCTTGTCAGCAAATACAATTTATCATTGAATGAAATGCTGATTGACGTTTTTCATACCAATTGTTATTCCATTATTTATACACTGAATTGACGACGGATTTTTTCCGTTATTTCCTGATTATGACAACGAGCACACGGCGGGTGTGACCGGTCGGCAGGGGATGCTCACTCCTCCATGGCACCTGATCCCACCTCTGATGTTTCGGAGGTACGTTTTTGCTCTGCTCTTATTTTGTATATTTGTTTAATGGACGTTGAGATTAAATACTGTTCGTTATTTCCATATCCTTCATTACATACTTTTAACTATTGTGTTACGTAACAAACATAGATATATAAAGTCAGATCTCCCATTAAAAATCATCAGCCACCGATTTAGGTACCCCATCGATATAGGACCCTCCACGATAAATATTTGCAAAATTATTCGGGGGAGGGTACTATCCCCCCAAAGAAAACATGAGCCGTTACTGCAGCCAATTTGCTAGTTTGCATTACTAAGTGGTAAAAATTTAAAACTGGCGACAAACATGATAAAATACTGGATTCATATTCATTCAAATGGGGGGGGGGATTTTTTTGTCAGAGTTATTTGTATAAGGCTTTGTAATTTGATATTTTATACTTTTTCTAAATAACCATAATGGTATTATTAATATAGATGTTCCATTGCAGACAGAGATAAATTGTTTTTTTTTAATGTAATATGTATCCACTGAAAACAGCTGGAGGAGGGGGCGTGTCAGTCGATCAAGGTCAGGATATTAAATATACAAGTGTATCTAACCCCATCCACATCCCCACAATTTACATACTAATATTGAAATGGATAAAATAATGAAAAATGATAAGCGTTCTGGAGGGATGTTGCTAAAACGAGGAACGGAAGAGGGAACGTAAAATGTATTATATTTTTTATTTTAGATTATATTACCTTAAATACACAAATTTATAAACAATATAATTTTTTTTAATTTCAATCCCCCATTATTTATTTCAAGTTGATTTATTCATGTTCAAAAAATCTCTTATTCAGGAAAATCACAGTCATAGCAGTGATGTAGAAACGATTTTGAAAGGGTTGGGGGGTCAAATTTAATTAAACTTACCTGAAAAGAATCTGCCAAGTGAGAAAAGAAGACAATTGTTTGATTCGGGAGGTGGGATAAAAGTAAACTCCAGCACCTCTCATTTTGTTAAACTCCTTTATTTAGTTTTTTTGTCTAACATCTCCTGTCAGTATTTATGTCCCCCGCTTGAAAAATGGGAGATATTAATTTGGGTCTGTTCGTCCGTCCGTCCGTCATTCTGTCTGACTGTAACGCTTTCGTTTCCACGCGATATCTCGAGAAGCCTTTGAGCTTTGGCAATTAAATTTTGCATATCAACTCTCTATGAATCAAAGAAGAACCCTATAGATTTTGAAGTCAAAAGGTCAAAGTTCAAGGTCGTTAATTAATACATTATGTCTGTGTGTAACACTATCCTTTCCAGGCGATATTTCAAGAGGATTTTGACTTTTTGCAATGTAATTTTATATCAAAACTCCCTAGGATGATCTTTCACCCCTCTCAAAGTGTTCCGTCCCGTTTATTTTATAGTATTTATTGTATAACATGTGGTTATTTTTAGCACAGGGGCATGAGGAGAGTTATTACGTATAAAGTAGGTTCTCGGCGGACTTTATATTCTTATTACATTAGAACTGTTTAATAAAGGTTAAATTAGACACCATGCATTATGTAAAATTTTAACAATATCGAACGTAAATACATAAATACATTTATGTGACTTCATGTTTGAATTAGATTTGACATTCTAATTGATTTGACATTCGCGCTCGTCATCTCGTCATTTCCATCCAGAAATGATTTCGAACGACTTGATTTTCAGTCTGGCTCGCCCAAATGACGACCTGGGACAAGTTAGGAATATTTAAAAAACCAACCAGTTCAACACGTTCAAATTATATTGCAGCCGCTAAGATTTTTTTTCCTGCCACATCTGCGTTCAATCAATCAGATGATGCAATTTTTACCAAAAGTCTTTAATAAAGTTTTATTTGAGATACAAGATATGTCAACTTATTGACAACAATCACCTTAAATATAAAGAGAAATAATCATCATTGTAACATCTTGCATTTCCCCTACAACTTTCTGATCATCTGATGATCGTTTTCTGCTGCTAGACAGCCATGTTGGGTGTCCACTGTAATATAACACCTGGTTAATTCAGTCCAGGGTTATTTGACCCTATAATATTTTTTAGGCCTTCATGGTAAGTGAAAATGAATGTTTTAAACTACAAACTTTAGCATTCTGCATGTCAGATTCTGCTTAATATATTTTTGTTTGATAAAATACTGGAAGACATCTTTTTCTCGCATAATCACCGTTGTAAGAATTGTCCGGTGTGAGACAGCAGTGTGAGATTTTTCTGCCTTACACTGTGTATTACTACGCCACGAACGAGAACGTAAACATTCCGTCATTATATAAACAAATTGTAACACTGTAAAAAAAAATATAACACATAATTAAACTGTTGTCATTTAACTTATTAATATAAACTTATTTTCATTCAAAATATTGTCGTATTTTCACTTTTTTAAAGATACTATTTTTAGATCGTGGAATGATTCTTCTTTTACGCTGTCAGATAGATAAGTTTTTTATTCCCAGTTTTTATCTTTCTGATTAATATACACGGACTGAAAATTATTTTATCAGTTACACTATGTGAAATCCATTTTCAGGTACGTTCTTTCCGATGGTGTATTCAGATTTTTAATAAGATGGAAAATTAAAAATATTCATTTAGCCCCATCATGGCGACGTCATTGACAGGCCGTTATTTTGGATAAAATAATGCGAGAAAAAAATCATTCATTACAAATTCGTGTGGGAATAATGAAATGCCACCTCGGGGCCAAGATTCACGGTCTAGGACTGGGAAAAGCCTCATCCTAGACTTTGAACCTTGTCCCCTCGGTGGAATTTCACTATCCCACACTCGTAGTAATGAATGATTCTATTAATATTCCAAAAATGTCTGCTTTAAATTTTTTAATACAAAAACACAACTTTTATTAATTATCTTAACGAATTTTAAACAATTGCACATTAAGTTTTGTTTCATTTGATTTTTTATTTGGACGGACCTGAAATTCATTCGGGCAACCTGTGATCATACCAAGGTTGCCCAAATGGCGAGACCAATTTTTGACGAACTCTGGAATATAAATTCACCTGGGTAAACCAGTTCTGTGGTCTAGTGGTATGTCTCTTGCTTCACATGTGAGAAGTCTCGGGTTCGGATTTCGGACGATTCATTTGATTTTGTTTTCGAAATACTTTTTTTTTACTAAATGATACCATTCAGCATGTGGAATGAAACATTTATGAGGTCTGGCTAGTACAAACTCATAAAATCATCATTACAGTGTGATAAATATTCCATATAAAAAGAATCTTCTATACACATACGAAATCAAATCTTTAAATGCATATTGACATACATATATTTGATTTCCTTCAGTATACATGTATACATACAGTCACTTAATGATTCTCTAAAATTCAGTCAAGGGGGATCCGACCTTTTCCCTAAGCGGGGGACACGAATTCTCTGAATAAGCTTGTTATAAGATTGTACCAATTTAAAATTGGCAGAAAGCAAAAATTTACTTACTGAAGGCTCAAATCTTATATGTTCAAGTCTAAAGATTTATATGAATGATACTGAAATAGAGTCCGTTTGAATTTAAATACTTGTAATTTCCCTTTTATTAATTAAAAAAACTTACTTACAAAATGTAAGGAACATATATATCAATATGATTGTTGAAAAATTGCAAGTAAACAAATACAATTTATCATTCTTTTTTCATTTCTAAACAATTGACAAAATGCTAATCCTCATATAAGCGGTTATTTCTGACAATTTAGTTTTATTTAATTTTAATATTTTTCAATCTTTATTATTCAAAGAAAACTGAAACATGTCTCAATATCTAAAAACAATTGCTTATATAATTTAAAGTGCTACATTTGACTTTGCAACCCATTTGAATTTGAGCAATTTTTTCGAAAATTGGCAATTTTTAAATCCCCATATCTCAATTATTTATAATTTCCCAAGCTCAATATTTTGCAAAGATAATGTTAAGATTTTAATTTGTACAATTAAATCAAAAAATTTAATTTCAAAGATTGGTCTTGTAAGATTTGGGGAATTAAATTTGTAATACTTTTGGCAATTCTTGAAAATTGGCATTATGCCAATTTTCAAGAGTTGTCTGCCCTTTGATATATATTGTAAATTTGATTTTGATAAATGTCAATTTTGAAATAACATAGCCTGATGTTACTTAAAAACCTTAAGGGAATTGCAAGTTTAATTTTGAGTAAAATAAATCAAATGTATATTTTACCATTTTTCGTGAATTTTTTAAGTGCATTTGCACTTACATGTGCAAAAACGAGGTTGCGCTGCCTACGATGCCATGATGCTTGATGGGATTTTTTTTTTGGTCATTTTTGAACAACATATTGTAAAGACTTACTACCCACCAAATTTCATTAAGATATGACAACCTTCGATTTGGACAGTTCTGCATGGTTTTCTCGCGGACTGACTCTTAAGACTGTTGAAATAATATGGAATCTATCATGAATTAATCAGATCGCTGGAAACAATTGAGAAAAGAAATAAACGGTGTTGTGAATTGTTTAATTTTATTTAGAAAAAATAGGGACTATAAATAGACCCAATAATAGCACACGATAATTAGAACTCCTTGATATGTAATGTTTTCGAACCTTGCTCTGATTGTGTATGAAAGAGAAGGTATGTGAAAGGGCGTGAATGTGAGAGAGAGAGAGAGGGAGGGTATGTGGGTAGTGAGTGAACATGTTCTATAAAGAACTTAAATCATGACATGATTTTCTCTTCACATTTTCTTTAAACAGGGCAGGAAAGTGTTTTTTGCCAGTAGATTTTCTCCGAAACTAAAGATGCCAAGTATGTCCTAGAACTAGAAGAGGATTTCAATCCGAAATCATCAAGTCTCTTATTGACTCATCGGCTGCTGCAGTTTTTAAATTTTGACAATCTTCAAAAGAAATTACGATCTCTAGAGACCAAAGTTATTTTAGTTAATCCTAGTACTCTTTGTGATAGATATGCTACAGAGGGTCTAATATGCATCTACCGAGTAGACGTGAAACATTCCAACAAACAGCTTATAGTGCAAGAGGTAAAGTTTATTCAATGTAATTGATTATGTAATAACTTAAAATTTACATTTCAAATATCTATCATATACATGTAGCCAGAATTTCAAGAGATTCTGAAAGAAAGATGTGGAAATAGCGAATTACATTCAAGCTGAAAAGTTCTAACTTACAATACAAATCAGTATTTTAGAAAAAAAATCAAAGATGGGATCTTGTGCCTTGCAGAAGTCAGCATCCTCTGTCGCCTGGACACATCCGCCGTGTTCCCCCTGTCTTGATTGGAATTAACTAAACAAAATGATTAATCTATAATAGAATGATCTTTATTTTAAAAAAAAATCAGGCAATTTGTTTTTGTTTATAAGTCAGAATGTACATTTGGAATGGAATTTAAGGTCATACCTCGAATTAATCACATTTTATTTTTCTTCTTGATGCAGACCAAAGATTCCTTTGACAAATTCAGAAGGATAAAGCATTTGCCTCGGGCATTTCTCGTAACCAGCCATTCTATGTCTGTTATAGATGCAAAGCTAGCTGTTTACAGAAAATACAAGGACATTTTTGAAGGCAACAATATAAGAATAATCCATAAATTAGATCCAAGCGAGGAATTTCCTTTATTCTGCGCAAAATATGAGATAGAACTCTTTCAACGTCGGATTGAAACTGTTGTAGAAAACATACAGTTGAAAGAACTGGAAAAAATAGTGAAAAATGCTGCAAACAAAGCTTTATCAAAGGAAGAAATTCAAAAAAGTTGCCAAGATATTGAAATTTTTATAGAAGGGCGCAATATCGGATCTGTGCACAGTGGAATTTACTTGTGTCGTTCCCCGCTTGCAATTCGGAGGATTAAAAAAAAGTTAATTTCAAGTACATTTGAAAAAGTTGGTCAAACATTAACAAATGAAACATTAGCTGGTATTTTAAATCACATTCAAGATATGCTAGATGTAGATCAGAACGAAGCATATAAAATAAACGTTTTGAAAGTTTTCACAAATGAGGATATAGACATGAAAGATATCGCTGCCATTGTAGTGACTGCTTTTTCAAAAATATTTAACTTTCTTCTGGGTATAATTTTCGACGCCAATCTTAGAGAGCATTTTGTACATTTTCTTTGGTCTGAAAATGTCAACTCCACGAAATGGCGGAACGAAGTAGCAAAAGAAATATATGAGAATATATCAGTAAAGAAAGAAGAAATAATCGCTAATATATTTACAGAAATGGTACCAATCTGGGGTCAAACTGAAATCCTATTGGGAAAAATCAGTAACAAAGTGACCATTGCTAGCAGAGAGATATTGATTGCAGACCAAAGAAAGCGTAATGATAAAAAAAAAATTCCGAATCGTTATCGTCGTTATTACCTATTTTAAGATCCAAGAATATGATGTATACAAATTAAATATATTTTCACTTAAATTTATTTATCGGAAAAGCCAATAAGGCTGAGAGTGCTAACAGTAAAGATTTTATTTAATTTTGACTGTGGCATTTTGCTTTTATTTATCAAGTTTAAAGACGAATGTGCTATGGATAAAGTGCAATCTTTTAACCATTTTTATTATTTAACTATATATATATATATATATATATATATATATATATATATATATATATATATATATATATATATATATATATATATATATATATATATATATGTAATTAAACAATATTTTTTTAATAGTTATAGCTGAATGGATGCTTCGAGAATTTCGAATAGAGAATATTGAAAGATGTCCATCGATTCTTCACTTTATAGCAGGGAGAAAGAAAGATTCAATCATTATGAAAGTATTTTTAGAAAAGTATGAAGTCGAGTCGGAAAAATTTTGTAAAGAAAATGCAGTCAACATCCCGGATGGTGCGATATTTGAATTTATTGATGTAACGTTGCAAACAGATTCCAAAGGAAGTCCTGCCTTTGTACATGGAGAGAAAAAAAAAGGTTTCCATATAAAGCATAACACAAAGAAACGCATTAAAGAGATTTTAAAAGATAAAAAAGACGAACTCTTTGCGAAACATTCAAGTTTAATGTCAATAAGCACGAGACCAAAAAAATTTTCCGAAGATCTTTTCAATTATGAAGCACGTATAGTTTTACATTGCCTTGATACAAATTTAATTCCTTTTGGAGAAGACCCATTACCAAAATGTATCGAAGGGTTTGAATGCGACATTCGAGAAAGTTTCATCCAGTTTGGATTATGCACAAATTGTAAAGCTTTAGATCATGGATGCAGCGTTGGGAGATATGGAGAAGTTTCATCAGGGTCTTTGGGATTCTTTGCAAAGAAACGATCTCTTTCTTGTCATAACGGATTTCTTACCGCAGCTCATGTAGCATTAACAAATGATGTCATTGCAGAACTAAATGAAAGAAGACTTTCAGATTATTCTTCTGAAAATCAAAGTTATAAAATTGTTCATCCATCGTTTGAAGACTGTGCTTCTAACAATATTATTGGGGAAGTGGAAGATTCTTTTTTTGGAAATTACGATACTACTGGAATAGATGCAGCTTTTATCAGAACTGATGCATTCAAGGATGAAAGTACGTAAAGTGAAGAAAAATCCATTTATAACTTCATGTTTATGAAATATAACAAAATACGAGGGCTTATCCAAAAGTAACGTCACAACTTTGATGACATTGCTACAAATCGACGTAAAGTAACAAAATTATACATGAATGAAGATTTATTTATTTCAGATCAGACCTAAACAATTCAAATGAATACGTTTGTTGCATACTTTCCAAAATATTAGATTTTAAACAATGTGCGTTTATGGTAGTCGCAGCACCTAGATCTAACGTCATATGACGGATACACACCGTCATACTTTTAAGTGTTTCCTTGTCGTTTAATTAAAAATTATTTGTGATTCGCAAACACTTTTACCAATTTCTCTTTAAAACAAAATTCTTGGAACCATTTTACACCCACTCTTTTCATAAATAAGCCCTCTGTCAAATTTTTTTGAACAGTAACGAAGACAAAATTGAAGATTCAAATGTCTTTCGATACGTCTGTCTTTTTTGACGTCAGACACAATTGAACAGTTTCCGTCCGATCTCCTATTTTTGTTCTTCTTGTCCTTTGCTGATCATTCAGTTACCAATCATCCGCCCAAAATTGCTGAAACCATCTATTAAAAAGTCTCTTATTTACATTCTTTATAATGTAAGTCTGAGTAATAAACGTAACTGTCGCTTGTGATGATTTCCATATTTTGAAGCAAAATTTTTACATCTCGTCGAACTGTTTTCCGCCATTTCGACAATCCCTTTGTTCTATTCAACAGAGTAAAACAACAATGTTTATGATCACAAATGCCAATGCCGTCATTAAATTTTCAATTAATGAGTAGAAAATGACGAGCATTGTGCCTTTTAAAAAATTTGGAGATTAGTTTTTTTAAGAATCTTTTTAATGTGTTTGTCTTTTTCTTTCTATGAAAAAAATACACTTTAAAACGTACTCGTGACGTTCCGTTGCGACGCGGCGACACCCCCTATACTCTATTTTTTAAACATCTATAAAAAAATAAATAAACATAATCAAACAAAAATGTCAATGTTTATTAGATTTATATTTGTGCATCTTTTGTTATAAGGTATTTGATGATATGACGCCAAATATAGAAGACATGGACACTGTGACATTACTTTTGGATCAACCCTCGTAATTACGTATATATATTTTCATATAACTTTCAGGACAATTGTATGAGTCATCTTGCAGTTTTGACATGGATTCTGATGAAGAGTACGATGTTGTCAAAAAGGGAAGAACAACTGGCGAAACAAGAGGAACATTAAAAGATTGTACATTTTTCATCCGTAAAATTTTTCCAGGCCGTGCCGGAATTTATCTTGTACTTGACAATTGTTATTCAATTTATGATTCAAATTCCCAAATTTTCTTTTTACCCGGAGATTCGGGAGCTGCCGTGTACGTCTTCAATAAATCGGACAATACTCGACAACCACTGGGACTTGCATTTGGTAAAATGACGAACTTTCCAATAACCTTTGTTTGTCCCATTGACAAAATTGCTGATGTCTTGAATCTTTCTATTCTTCAACCTGCGGAACCAATGGATATTCCTTAGTTTAAACTAGTTCCGGTGATATAGGAACGGAAAATTGTAACAGTTATTTATTACTTCTTTGATTGGAGAACGATTTAAAATTCAACGTATTCTCAATATCTACTGCCACTTCTATATTCATTTTCCTTAGTATTGCTTAAGTACGATCTCTTGATTGTTCGACACTTTTAATAAACATTCTAAGAAAAGCACAGGAGATGACCCTGAATGAAGATTCTCCAGATCTATATGATCCGATCAAAATAATCTAAATTGCATCTGGAAAGAATATTCATAAGATATCCGAATCAGGTCTTCAATTTGTAATATAAATATGGACCTCAAATATGCTTGAAATTATTATTGGTTTACAGTTTCAATGTCTTTTTAGGCATAATTTAAAAACCTGTATTGCAGTCTTTACATATTTTGTTTCAATTTCAGTAGAAAGATGTAAAATAAAAATAAAAATACATAACAAATAAATAATAAAGAAAAATTAATACTTTTTTTTTACATCTATAAGATGCACTTTATAACATGATAATGAGAAGGATATGGAAATAACGAACAGTATACAAATCTCAATGTCCATCAAACAATATACAAAGAAGAGCAGAGCAAACACGGACCTCCGAAACATCAGAGGTGGGATCAGGTGCCATGGAGGAGTGAGCTTCCCCTGCCGACCGGTCACACCCGCCGTGTGCTCGTTGTCATAATCAGGAAATAACGGAAAAAATCCGTGGTCAATTCAGTGTATAAATAATGGACTAACAATTGGTATGAAAAACGTCAGTCAGCATTTCATTCAATGATAAATTGTGTTTGCTAACAAGGTCATTGTATCGACCATAGAATTTACGAATTTACGAAATGATGACTTTAAACGAGACTGTTGATATTCTTGTTTCATCAACTTGCTTGTCAATAATTTACCTCGTTTAAGAAATTGTTCATACGTAGAGCATGCTCTTACGTATCGAATCAACTGAGATATATATACACCGTATGCAGGTGTTGAAGGTATATTGCTGCATAAGTAAGGGAAGTTGACGATAGAAAAATTAAAATCATCACGTTTATCATATAGCTTGGTTGTTAGATTACCATTAGTATCCTTTTCGAATAAGATATCTAAGTATGAAGCAGACGTGTCGGACTCTGTGGTATCTTTTATCTCAAGCTCACCAGGATATATCGTGTCGACGTAGGAATGGAAATTATCATTATTACATGTCATTGACAATACGTCGTCAATATATCTAAATGTCGAGTTGAAGGCCACAGCAAGTGTTTTCTTCTTTTCACGCATAAGATTTTGCATAAATTCTGCTTCATACAGTACCGACCGGACACAACCTAACACCAGAGCGAACCCGGAGCGGACCCCTGGTTCGCTTCACGGGTTCGCTCTGGGTCCGCTTCGGGTTCGCTTTCAGAAATTTGGGACCGCTCCGGGTGCGCTTTGGGTGCGCTCCGCGTTCGCTCGGGGTCAGCTCGGGGTCCGCTAGAGCGAACCCGGTGTTCGCTTCCTGGGACCGCTTTACGCACTGAGGCGTGAAGCGGACCCCGCTTTAATCTCACCGCCAGTAAGCCCCGCCCCTTGTATATTCCAATACAGTAATGGTATTGTGGATCGATCATTGTTGTTTATGCGACGATGCGGACATGTACACTGTACATGTAAACAGTGACATTATGGAGAACATTGATAAATTTTCTGAAATTAAACTGTTTATTAGACGTAGATTTACATGTACATGAATAATTGATTTCCTTGATTTCTCTATCCCGAGAAATTCAAACTAATTTAACAGCGAGTTATAAGGCATTTATTTTTCTTAAGTTATAACGAGAAAACAAAAAGGAAGAGGAAGAAAAGAGTGTTGAATTGATTCTCAGTGTATCGAATGGTGTACAAGTGAAACTGATGAAAGAAATTTAAACTGAATACCTTTTAAATTCATGCTTTATATAGTTTAAAAATACATTTGTTATTCCTTACCTTTTGCTAAATCGTAGTTTGAATGTTTACTAAACACGTGAATTATGATATCGCATCTATAAATTCCATGTAACCTTTTGTACATCTGATATATTTAGATTTCATTTATAGTAGTTACACATTAAAAGTTCGTAATAAATATTTACCGGACATTTTCTAAAAAAAAAATTACACTGTATATCAGAGCTTTTTCAAGGTCAAAATTTTGGAGCAAGAATGATTTTTATCAGAATAAAGAAAAACACAAATTTATTTAATTTAATAATAATTGTTCTCCTGACCCGATAAGAATATATCAATATATGCCCCCTATTTCACACACACATTGTCTTTAAAAAATTCTAATTATTTAATTATTTTAGATATAATTTCTCAATATACGTGTTACATTAAATTATTCAAAATTTACATCAAAATTATTGATCTTCTTAGTCTTCTTGGGCATGAGAAAAATGCGTGGATATAAAAATCTTCCTTCTGGATGCACAGATTGAAGACATACCGCCCTAATGGTATTAACAAACTGAATGACTTCACCAGAATGAACGTGAATTAGACCTAATTTCTGATGATACTTAACAAGATTATCCTTTCAACTTAGTTTAACTCTACAGTTATTTGCGTTACCATCTTTCGAAGAACCCACATAACTATGCATTGCTAACGCCTTTATTAATTATTTTTTTCCAATAATTAGTCCTAAAACATTTCAAAATTTATAATAGATTATAATTCATATGTTAACATATCCCTTCTATGTTATATTTCTCTGATTATTCTTTGTCAAGTATAGTTACGCATTATGAGAGAATGAAACAATGTACGATTTACTAAATGTCGTGATTAATTAGCGTAATTAATTCGTTCAATTATGTAAATCGCACTTCGCCCGAGTTTACCCCGATAAACCAGACGTACTTTATAGCGGTTCGGATTTCTTTCTTTATTTAAAAGTGTTTACATAAATTTCCAATTCAACTTGAGATAATGAAATTTTACAATAATTGTCGAAGATCAACTATATTTCTTTTCTCCGCTTTTTGTCAGTAAAATAATTGTCGAAGATCAGCTATATTTCTTTTCTCCGCTTTTTGTCAGTAAAAATTGTACTATCAATTGATTTCCATTTTTATGCATTGACTGATGTATTTACCCAATTTATTTAATCAATTGCTTTAATAAAAAAGAAATTAAATATTATATAAATATAAAATACAACCCGGAGAATTAAAATAAATAATTATTAAATAATATTCTAATCATCACAATAGATTAACACAGCACATTCACACGTTTTACTTGCATGTACAGTGTTTGGATTTATGTCGAATTAAATCAACACGTTCGATCTAATATCCCAATCGACAGATCAATATGCTATTTTGATTGGTTGATGCGCTGATTGGTTAATCGCTAATCCTGATTGACAGCTCTGTAAAGAAATACCGAACCCGCGTTCGCTCTCTGGGACCGCTACTGAATTTGGGGTTCGCTCTCTGGGTCCGCTTCGGGTTCGCTCTGGGTCCGCTACGGGTTCGCTTTGGGTGCGCTCCGGGTTCGCTCGGGGGTCAGCCCTAGCGGACCCCGAGCGAACCCGGAGCAGCCCAGAGAGCCAACCCGGGGTCCGCTCCGGGTTCGCTTTCTGTTAGGTTGTGTCCGGTCGGTACTGTATATAAAAATAAGTCTGCTAATAACGGAGCGCAATTCGTACCCATGGGAATTCTAAAAGATAGTTGGAATACCTGGTCTCCAAAAACCACATAGATATTGTCAATCAGAAACTCAAGCATCTTCTTGATGTCAACTTCAGAGTACTTTTGTGTGCAATCAGAATAAGTTTTAACAAAATAATTTTTCAAATGACCAATGACGAGGTAAGTGAATTTACGAGTTCCGTTTTTTTTAAGAAGCAGCTGTCAATGATATCAAAAAGCCTGGATTTTAATTTGTCGTGCGGAATTGTTGTGTATAAAGTTGAAAAGTCGTAAGTTTTTAAGCTGTTGATTTTTTTTTAAAGTCTTGCGATTTCAAATTGTCTAAAAGTTCTTTAGAATTTTTAAGTAGCCACATCTGATTTACACCACTTCTTGAATTTATAGTTGTACAGTACTTTTGAAGTTTTTTCTTCACTACTGTCAATATTTTATCGAGAAGTAACGAAAGAGGCTTGGTTGAACATTTACTGGAACCTGCAATGTATCTTTGTTTGTAAGGATTCTTATGAAGTTTCGGAGTCCAATATATATATATAAGGTAGTTCAAATTCATTTTGGCTCTGTGGAATATTAAAAGTATTCAAAACTGACAGGTGATTTTGAAGAATTTCTTCCATAGAAAGAGAAGTATGAGTATAAGTAGGATTACCACTTGCGGAATTAAATCCAAATTCTTCTAGAATGCAATTTATATAATGAGACTTACAAACGAAGTCAATGTTGTTACCTGCTTTGTCGGCATGATCCAGTACGTACTAATCGTGTAATCTATCTAATTCTTTTTTCACTTCTGGTTTATTGAACACAGAAGGATAGATGGTTTTCATTTTGCCCCTCGATCTTTTAATACGTGACTTTAACATGGATCTGATACATTTTATCCATTCTGACAAAGTTTCAATGTCTTCTTTTTCATATCTGGCCCATCGTCTGGCGTAATTTTCAACAGGATCCATAATATTTATGAAATTCCGACGCCAGTTTAAGGATCGGGGTTCCCTATATTTAGGACCTTTTAAAATAATTGATCTAAGGTCCTCATTACGAACTATTTTTACGTCACCTGTAATAACGTGTCCAGCAGGACTGTAGGTATAGGGTGAAGAAGAACATGGACACGAAGGAGGATTATGTTTCAGATAGTCAATATCCAGGCCATGTAAAGTGTTTTTGTAATTGAAAAGTTTGGAAGCAATGGTCGATTTATATTTGTAGGAAATACAAGGTGTAGTCTTTAACTTGGTATGGTGGAATACAAGACTGGGCCCTCTTGTGATTAAGAATATTACTTATATTAACCCAATAATTCCTTTATTATTGGCATATTGAAGTTTAACCCTTTCTCTTCCGGTACATTTTACGTGATTTTGGAGGCCTTTTGACATGACATTATTAAATTATTTCTAACTTTTTTATCCAAGGGGAAAGCTAGGCATAGTGCATACCAGTTTGTAGGAAATTTCTTACAGATGATTTTGTATGACTGTTTAGATACTCAACCACTGACCTTATTAGTAAAAATTGAGGTCAAAGGTCAATTAAGTGCAAAACTTTATGGAATTTTTTGATACTTTTTCATCTTTAAGCTAAATATTAACTATGATGTATGTTGAAATAGGAAATTTGGGATATACCCACAAAAGAGCATTATACTATACTACAAGAAGCACATAAACTTTTTTTTCAATTCTGCATATAACTACTTAAAAGGGGTTGCTAAGCAACGCAGAATTCTTTAATTTTCGGGCAGAAATTTTCATTTTTTGCTCATCCTAAACACAATTATGCATCCCATCACATATAAAAGTTAGATGTGAGGTCCTAAAATTATAAGGGACATACAACAGATAAATTGTCTTAAAGTTTGACCTCATTAGAACTTTTTTTTAGGAGGTCAAAGGTCAAATAAGTGCAAAAGTTTCATCAATTTTTTTCAACACTTTTCAATATTCTTGCCATAATTTTACACAATGGATGCTGAAATGGAAAATTCTGAATATACTCTCAAGAAGGGATCAGAACTGCAATATCCATGCATCATTTTAGTTCAAATATCTGTTTAATGACCTTTAAGTGGTTGCTAAGCAACATCATTATAAAGTTTTTGGCTATATACATGTTTGTTATTTCACATTCTGGACTAATTCTAGACACTTTTTGTATATATCATGCTATTGTTTGTAAGATATGGGCCATAAAGATGAAAGAACATTTTTGTATTAAAAATTGACCTTGACACTCTTGACGGGGTCAAGGTCATATCAGTACAGAATTCTGCTTTAAACTGTAAGTAAATATCAATTTTGAAATGCTTCAAACATGGATAAATCATCTAATAGTTGACGTAATAAAAATGGCGAATGACAAAGTTTGCAAGCAAAGAATTCTGGTCTGCTTCTTACAAAGCCCTAGCAAAACATGTATACTATCTTTTTGTTAAACAAGAAATACATTCTCTTGATGACATTAAAGATAATCCTTATTTTCATGGATTTAATTTAACAAGAAAAAAAAACTAAATGATTTCATTACAAGATTTTTCTGGTATAACAGAGCTTAAGGGGTACAATAAAGACTTGACATGTTATCTTGGAGGGAAATAATAGTAATAGATAGCATTGGCAATATTTAATGCAAAACTGTTTAGTCAATAAGTCGAAAATTTGACGCTTATATCCAAATATACAAATACAGAAATATTGCAAGATGAATTCCAAATCAGACTGAAATCTTCAACAAAATGTTGAAGAGCACTTTTACTTTGTGTCCACCATTCTTTTATCAACTGTATTTCTCTGTAAGACCGGAGGAAATTCTTTGACTTGTCCAAGACATTATTATTTGCTGTCAAGTACAAGTGATCAGCTTCTATCCTGTAAAAGATTTAAGTATTTTGAAACAGATACATGTCATTGTATATTATATAAATTTATATTTATAAATAAAATTAAGAATGCTAAAATTACTACATTTATTTGATTTTCCTTTTAAAATTAAAATTGTATTCATTATGTGATCCAAGTAGTTAAATGATATTGTTAAGTCAATGTATCAGGACTGAAAATTTAACAACATTGTAGTAAACCATCATGGTAATATTACTGAACTAAAACAGATAGCATATATGGCAATCTGACTAAAGCCAGACCTCTGTTTACGCTATCGCAACATGTAAAAAAATCTGGCATTAAATTGCTAAGAAAGCCAGGAAGGGACACGTAAATTTTTCAAATATCGAATCGAATTAGACAATCTAATCCCACGGATAACTAAATTGTTCCCTCGATTTAAAATATGAGATCTCGAATTACACAATCCGATCTTAAGTATTATTAATTCGCCCCCTTGATTCATAATTTGAGATCTCGAATTACATACCAGTAATTTGTTTTCACAGATTGATAATTCAACATCTTGATTTGTTAGTTTGTTACAACGTCTGTCTTATGATTTTGGAAATCTGTGCTCTTGAATTTCATTACATACTCGTATATGTACAGAAACATCCAACAATTTTAATCAATAAGTGCGTTCTATTTATTTCGTTTCAGCAACCGGTCGTTTCCAACTTCTTTCATAACTAATTCAACGTATATTTATTTTAGAAATATTATGATTACACATGACCCATATTTACTTTTACTATCTAGGACTTTCAATTATTCTAATATAATACAAGTAACACAAAAACTTCTAAGATTTTTTGTTGTACAAATATCAGTACTAGCACATGGATTTGAAAATGTTCATGTATTTCTCTCATTTTGGACCGTAATATGTAAATGATAAAAGTTAGGATGTAAAATACTACAATATTCTATTTTTTAAACATGTATTACCATATCCGATATGTACAGATAAATAATTTAAACGAAATCATGGGAAGGGTTTACATTCCGAGGGAATAAATCATTTAAACTAAAAGAATGAATTATACAATCTGAGATAACGGACTGTGTAATTTGAGGGAACGAATTGGTAATCTGTGAGAATGAATTGGCAATTTAATTGTTATAACATATTGTCAATCCGAGAGAACGGATTGTATAAATCAAGAACTCGGTTTACTTTAATAAATTTTAAAAATTCTATGTCCCTTTATGGCTTTCATAGATTTCATACCTGCATGGCTGCCAGGGTTGTAAAAAGAAAGGAGACAATAGACTCCAATGTTACTTCAGGGCAAAATTCCTGGCGCAAGGCTGTTCGTGATCATGGGAGTGTTGATAAACCATCCAGTGAGTTTGACCACCCATGTATATGATGTAGGATAATTGGAAAGTGTCTGAAAAATTGAGAAAATGGATATTCTAACCACATACTTTATGCAGATTGGAAATACTACAGCAGTCTATAAAAAAAGTTTGTTCAATATCTCGGCATTCATTCAGATAGATATTACATGTTTAAATAAAGTGTCTGTATGAATAATCAAGCATCATAAATATATGTGTTTCAAACACTTATTTTTCAAAATTTTGAAAATATAAATCAAATGTTTATAAACTTGTATGAATGCAATATCATGAGAATGACATAAATGAAATTAGACTTTATTTTTTCAAATTTTAGAAATACAGAAATTTTCAATACCAAAATAAAAATTTACCTGTTCATTGGTGTCCTTACATATTAATTGACCTTCCGCTGGTAGTTCATGGTGGGTTTAGAAAGTGGGTATTCACAGATGAAAGTATTGTACAGTTGCATATGCTGAAAGCACCCTAAAATTTCAATGTGAAAGTTGTACATGTACACCTGTACACACAGGTACATAGATACTGAAAACAACTATCCATTATTATGACAACTTTGATTTTACTTTGAACTTACGAGTGATTGTCAAAAGTATCAAAGTTTAAAAGCAATGCAAAATTGGCTGAACGATACGAAACACGCACACTGAAACATAAAGATCTAGTACATGTGTACATTTAGTTTTCTTTTGAACGTGAACTATTGCGTTTTAAACTTAAACTTTTCAGTCAATATACACGTATTCTCACCTGCTAATACCAAAGGTATGTCCGTATTATTTGATTCATTGATGTGATGATCTTCGTCGTGAAATAATATTAATAATAGTGAAAATTGACGTTCAGATTTCGGATCGCCATCATGTTTACACCAAAGCGGAAACACGTGTTTATTTCAATTCGTATCAACTCATACAGTGATGAGTCGTATTTATTTATAAATGCGAGTTTTTGTATTGTTAAATATAGATCTAATTAAATTGCAAATTAATAAGTATACAGTATAACAAGATACAACAATATTAAAAATCTGATTGATTTTTTTTTTAGTAAAGATCGACGTTTTGGAAATCTACAATTTTTATCAATATTGTATATCACTTCATGAAATATACATCATTACATGTAGATGAATAAATCAACATTCACTTCACAAAAGGTAGAATGAAAGTATATATTTGTTTTTTGAAATCTATTTTTTTTTTTTTTGTATTATCCATTTATTTCAGTAAAAAATATATTTGAATGGTCAAAAAAATCTTATAAAAGAATTTGTTGTTTCGAGTAAGACGCAACAATATCGACCTTGACGTTACATGTAAATATTGACCGATTTTTCCATAAAAACTATGCAAAGGTCACAAATTCAAATTATCGTAATTAAGAAAATACTGAGCGTAAGAAGGCCTATAAGGGCTTGTTGGAAAGGAAATTTTCTCTACTTCTACCAGCTTTATTTTGTTTTCCCTATTTCAACACACAAATAAACGTAAAACTGACCTTTGTTTAAATATTACGAATAAAATCGATAAAAAACACATAAGTGCAAGAAAATTCTTGTTTTCAAAATATACTTTAAAGTAATAACAATAATTTTTACATATTTTAAAAGTAGAGAAAATATTCTTTAAGAATATACCATGCTTTCTTATAAAGTTAATCAGAAAAAAAAAATGTCAATCGTCTGGAAATTCGGCAATCGCTTTGGAAAATTACGCCATTTTCAAAAAGTCTCGTTTGTCTTTACAACGTAAAATCGATTAAATACCGGCAATCAAGACATAATCTTTTTAGATATTTTAAAAGTAGAGAAAATTTCCAAAAAGATGATATATAGCTTATATACCTTCATGCTACCACAAAATAGATACGGAGATCTTATTTTCGCGAAGTCGTGTTTTAACGCGCCACCGGTCAATTTGACCGGTACAGAAGTGAAGGGGTTAAGGAAAAGATGGATTGTTTTAGCTGCATTTTCTTCCGTGAAACGCGCGGGTTGAAAAAGCCTATGATATGCAATATCCATAATCACAGAACCGAGCCTATATTCAGGTGTCGAGGAATCTAAAATTGGATGTTCCTTGGTCTTTTCAAGACGCCTATTTAAAAGTTTCAAAGGGACAGAGTAAAGTTTTGTTCAAATATGATGTAGACCTAACTGTTGATTTACATAAGGTAGTAATGAATCAAAAGAGACGTCGTGTATTCCAGGTTTATTGTACGAACGATGTCCATGACTACGCTTCCGTCTCTGTGTATTGTTAAAAAGGTCCCATCACATTTATATTATTACACTGCGGGCTTGAAAAATTTCCAACACTATCGACATTGTCATTACATCCATTGGGAAAAGCTCTCCCTAGTTTCCTAATCCAAACTTCTTCACGTTGTCTACGGAAAGGTGTACTCAACGACGGACTATTTGTGTGGTAATAAATCTTTTCCAGAATTCTAACTTTCATTGATAAAATAGAATGATCAGGTGAATTAAAATGTTTATATAAAAGCTGTTGACCACCATGATTTATTTGAAATTGATGACCTGATATTCTTTTGTTTAGCGATCCCTTTCTGATTTCAATGTCATAATTTTTTTTTTCAATCTTCAAGATAAAGTAATGCACAATATCAGGATGATATAATAAGATAACAGGTTGTGAATATCATTAAAATTGTAGAATATGAACCTGTAAAGGACGTTAAACATAAAGAAGTTCTGATAGAGACATTAAACTGAGCTTTTTGATCAAAGTTCATTGGTGACATTTTAGCAAAGGTTCCAAAGATAACCTAAAATCGATCTTAAATTTTTCCAAGTAACTTTGGTGCATAAATCAAAGGTAAAATCTGTACAAACTAGACTAAGTTCTCTAAAGTGCGTCCAGTGAACTATAATGAAGAAGATGACATTTTTGAAGCATGTACATTATTATTTTTCCTCGATACGGATCTGATTTCATTTTGACCTCTTGAAGAATTTGAATGCATCATTTTAGAAGATTTTATTAGATTCTGAAAATTCAATAACTGTCCAGTTGTAGAACACATAACACCACAGGCAGGTTCTAATGGAATATTATTATAGAAATCTCCTTCTTCAAACTGTTGTGTTGTTAGAATATATTTCACTATACCAAGCCATGATGTTGGAAATCCAAAATATATAATCTAATAAAATTTACAATTTGAAGAGCTAAAATAGGTGTGCAAAATATTTGAACAAAATACTTTGGGGGATCAAAGGTTATGCGTAACTGAGATTATTCGGTCCTTAATTTAAGATAACATTAAAATCTTATCGCGGTGATTAAACGTATTATATACTTACATGTAGATACAGGGGTGTAGAACCCTCTGGAATAAATAGTTTAGCCGAGGGCCCGATCTATGGGCTATAATTTGAATCCTATAAGGTATCACTTTTTAATGATCCAGAGGTGAGAAAAAGATTTTTAAAAAAGGTTATACTATCAGTATGCACTGGTTCTAATTGACAAATTAAAGCATGTCACAAAATTGTCTTTGTAAGAAGGATATGGAAATAACGAACAGTATTCAATCTCAACGTCCATTAAACAAATATACAAAATAAGAGCAGAGCAAACACGGACCTCCGAAACATCAGAGGTGGGATCAGGTGCCATGGAGGAGTGAGCATCCCCTGCCGACCGGTCACACCCGCCGTGTGCTCGTTGTCATAATCAGGAAATAACGGAAAAAATCCGTGGTCAATTCAGTGTATAAATAATGGACTAACAATTGGTATGAAAAACGTCAGTCAGCATTTCATTCAATGATAAATTGTATTTGCTGACAAGGTCATTGTATCAACCATAGAATTTACGAAATGATGACTTTAAACGAGACTGTTGATATTCTTGTTTCATCAACTTGCTTGTCAATAATTTACCTCGTTTAAGAAATTGTTCATACGTAGAGCATGCTCTTGCGTATCGAATCAACTGAGATATAAATACTCCGTATGCAGGTGATGAAGGTATATTGCTGCATAAGTAAGGGAAGTTGACGATAGAAAAATTAAAATCATCACGTTTATCATATAGCTTGGTTATTAGATTACCATTAGTGTCTTTTTCAAGTAAAATATCCAAGTATGAAGCAGAAGTGTCGGACTCTGTGGTATCTTTTATCTCAAGCTCACCAGGATATATCGTGTCGACGTAGGAATGGAAATTATCATTATTAATTGACAATACGTCGTCGATATATCTAAATGTCGAGTTGAAGGCCACAGCAAGTGTTTTCTTCTTTTCACGCATAAGATTTTGCATAAATTCTGCTTCATATGAATATAAAAATAAGTCTGCTAATAACGGAGCGCAATTTGTACCCATGGGAATTCCAATAGATTGTTGGAATACCTGGTCTCCAAAAACCACATAGATATTGTCAATCAGAAACTCAAGCATCTTCTTGATGTCAACTTCAGAGTACTTATGTGTGCAATCAGAATCTGTTTTAACAAAATAATTTTTCAAATGACCAATGACGAGGTAAGTAAACTTACGAGTTCCATTTTTGTTGAAGAAGCAGCTGTCAATGATATCAAAAAGCCTGGATTTTAATTTGTCGTGGGGAATTGTTTTGTATAAAGTTGGAAAGTCGTAGGTTTTTATGCTGTTGATTTTTGTAAAGTCTTGTGATTTCAAATTGTCCAAAAGTTCTTTAGAATTTTTAAGTATCCACATCTGATTTACACCACTTCTTGAATATATAGTTGTACAGTACTCTTAAAGTTTTTCCTTCACTACTGTCAATATTTTAGTGAGAAGTAACGAAAGAGGCTTGGTTGAACATTTACTGGAACCTGCAATGTAACTTTGTTTGTAAGGATTCTTATGAAGTTTCGGAATCCAATATATATAAGACATTATTTTAATTGTATTTTTAAAAAACGGGGATTTAGTCCAACGAGTTCTATTTGAATAATACCCACTAAGTTTCCTTTGTTAGGAAAAAAAAGTTATATATCAGTTCTGATCTTCTGTAAATTTTCCCTTTTAATTTTTTTCTTCAAAGTCATGAAACACCAACATTTTGTTTAGTGGAAGAAGCTTTTTATTATCTTTACCGTTGCTTGAATAAAAGAATATTACGAAGGCATAAATCAGGGTTTAGTAAATGCTTTTTAAAACTGAGCATCATTATGTCGTATTCGTGCTGGTTTGTTTCATAGAAATTGTTAGGATTTTGTTTTCATTCTGAATTTGACTACAGAATGTTCTGTCTAATATCAATCTTTACAATCGAGTTTGACTAGTCTACAGTAGATGCTTACTCTTCCTGGGCAGCCGATTATGTACCTTATTTATTTTCTCATATCAGATTGTATTGTTTACAAAATTTTTGAAATCGACAAATGTGAACTTAAGTATTTTTTATCCTTTTTTTATTTTTTAACTATATACTTCTCTGAAGAAGCTCATTTAGGTTGATTTGTCAGTCATATTGGTTTCTCACAGAACACACGTCAGAAAACATATTTTCCATGACCTGGTGATTCTCGCGATGCTTTTCCCGCGCACATGCGCAGATGCAGGATAAACGTCAGTCCTTTATAAATATTCATAAGAATATCGTGTTCTTTTCCCGACAAGTACTTTGTTTATACTGAATAATATTTCGTCGAATTTGCAAGAATGCTTCATTTTTGATAGCTTATCATACTTGAGAAATTTTAGTTCGGTTTCAGCTTTGTAAAAAAAATACCGTTTAACACGGCATACATATCTTTAAAAAAAGAAAAAAATTTCAATTGCATTTTATCCAAAATAGTAACGATTATTTATGAAATACCTTGATATCATTTCAAAGCATTTAAGAGTAGATTTGTATTTATCAAGAGAAATTTTCAAAAAGTTGCATTTCCTAAGTAGGAATTAATCATTAAAGTTTTTCATCGAGGTCTATGAAAAGACAAGTAAGTTTATGAAATAAAAGAAAAATGCGATGAATATAAATAAATTCTGTGGTGAAAAAATGTATTTAATTTGATAATTAGGAAGAGAAAAACATGGTGAAATTTTTTTTTCACTTTGCAGATAGATTGAATTTCATTAGAATTAATTTTAATTGATTAAAACCAAAAGGAGATACCTCTTCTAGGACAGGATAAGGTTTTAATTTAGAACATGCTCAAATCTTGAATACTGATGTTAAAAGATGGAAATTATTTCTAAATATAGGGAGTGTTCACACATACATATATATTATGAATACAATTCAATAAAAGCTAAGGCTAATATAGGTCGAAAACCTCAACTGCTGCTTCGTTATATTGCGCCTTGTTCCAGAAATTATGACCCGTATTAAGACGTCAACATATCCTAGCGAAGAGCTTCAAAACCATAGTTCCACGCTCAGTACAATTTGGCATTGGAGGATATTTGTAGGTTAAACG